TAAAGCAATACGTGAACCGTCTAACTTGTCATAGCAGTATTCTCTAGTACATCAAATTCAAAATGCAATTTTACATGTTGTAGTACTAATGAAACATATGATCGATAACAATATAAAGATCAACATTCATTAAAAGAATCGTAGTAGAACTACTGCACATATATTTATGACTTTACAATTTTTTGCACGGAAATAATCAAGCCAAAAACAAGAAGCAACAGAGATCTATTTAACAACACGGCGAAATACAAGATCACGTTGTTAGCATTGATGTGCTTTGTAATGTGTGTTCCGTCATTAGTTTAGCTTGCAATCTCATACAAATATACAATGATAGCTCAAGAAAATACAAAAGATATTGATGCTAGCAATCAGATGTACACCATAGTGTGGCGATTATAAGACCCGAACATAATATTAACCCCGAGATCTTAGCAAAGTCCCGGCAGGTTTATGAAAATTGAAACAAACCCTCTCCATAGAGGTTTATAACAAAAAAAATCCATGTCCACTAATATCCGTTTCTTAAGTTCAAAATATTTGCTATCTATCGTCAAACAATTAAATAATCGAGGCCCCATTTTCAATAGTCCGATTATCACATATCCAGATCTTATCTCACAACCATACCCCCTCAATCTCCAAATCTTACTTCACAACCACAGCAAACTCGTTTATGGATGAGAAATTCAACAAATTGCACAAGCTAATTAAACAATTTCATCAAATATCCCAAATCCCAGATCTATATAGTCAAAATCAAATCCAAAAACCCAGACAATCACCAAATTGGCATCCCCACTGATTCAAACATAAAACATCCCAGAAAAGACAATCTAAACAGATCGAATCTCATTACATATCCATTTATCAATTCATTTCCAGGTAATCGAACACGAAATTAAACACACACAAAAAATCTAATAAAACCGTACCTTAAGAACTTTCAGTTTCACGCTTCCGTAAGCAAGTCCGAACGTAAAAGCAGAAACCCTAGCCACCTGCCATTCACGATTCGTCGAAATTCAGATAATCTATCAAAAATTCTACATATTTGAAACAGCAAAAAAAAATTAGATCGGAGAGAGAAATGGGAATCACCAAAGCAAGGGTGCTTTTGCCTGAGTACGGTCCAGGAGGCAGCGTCATCTTCAGTGGATTTTTTACAGAAAAAAAAAAAAATACACACCAAAAAATGGCTTAGAGAGAAGAGAGAAAGTTAGAGAGAGAGAGAGAGAGAGAGAGAAAATTCTTCTACGCAGTAAGCCCTAGCTTAGTTTATACACACTCGTGTGGTTCGTGCAGCAGTATTAAGATTTGGTAAATTGTATTTTGGTCCCTTAGGTATGAGCATTTTGGCGGTGTGCCCCATAATTAATTATAAAATGCCGATTACAACACGCGTCACCGAACACAGTCCAATTCGCCTGGGGCTCTGTCTTTGACCATTTGACTTCCACCCTATTGTGTTCCGTGCACTCGTCAATGACCAATTAAATTCGTCCGTGACACTAATCAACATCACCGCACTGTATATATTATCATTCCCCTAACCCCTCTTCTATAATGAAAATCATCTGAGAAAAGCTACGGAAGTAGTACCGAAAACCTAGCCACCTTTTGCATCCGCCACTCCCCATGGCCGCTTCCACCGCCGTCACTTCCTCCGCCTTCCAGACGTCGTCCTCCGCCACCCGCCTCGCCCATCCGCCGCCGTATTCCAAGTCCTTCTTCAACCTCCCCACCAAAACCCTCCCAAAACCCCTCCACATCACCCCCTCCAAAAAAAACCCAATCTCCGATGTCATCTCAACCTACAAAAAATCAGAAACCCTAGGTTCAGATTCCCCCTTCCAATCCAACGACGATGATAAACCTAGAGAGGAGTGCGGCGTCGTCGGAATCTACAAGGACCCCGAAGCCTCCCGCCTCTGCTACCTCGCCCTCCACGCGCTCCAGCACCGCGGCCAGGAAGGCGCCGGCATCGTCACGGTTCACGACGGCGTCCTCCACTCCGTCACCGGCGTCGGCCTCGTCTCCGAGGTCTTCAACGAATCCAAACTCGACAAACTCCCCGGCGACACCTCCATCGGCCACGTCAGATACTCCACCGCTGGATCCTCCATGCTGAAAAACGTCCAGCCCTTCGTCGCCGGCTACAAATTCGGCTCCGTCGGCGTCGCCCACAACGGCAACCTCGTCAATTACCAGTCACTCCGCGCCGATCTGGAAGAGAACGGCTCCATCTTCAACACCACCTCCGACACCGAGGTCGTCCTCCACCTCATCGCCATATCCAAACAACGCCCATTCTTCCTCAGAATAGTCGAAGCCTGCGAAAAACTCGAGGGCGCCTATTCAATGGTGTTCCTAACCGAAGACAAACTCGTCGCAGTTCGCGATCCCTTCGGATTCCGTCCGTTGGTAATGGGCCGGAGAGCCAATGGCGCCATTGTTTTCGCCTCCGAAACCTGCGCTTTGGATCTAATCGAAGCCACATACGAAAGAGAAGTCCTCCCCGGAGAAATCATCGTAGTCGATAAAGAAGGCGTCCAATCCTTCTGCCTAATGCCTCACCCCGAACCCAAATCCTGCATTTTCGAACACATTTACTTCGCCCTCCCGAATTCAATAGTCTTCGGCCGATCCGTATACCAATCAAGGCACAAATTCGGCGAAATCCTCGCCACAGAATCTCCGGTGGACTGCGACGTAGTAATCGCAGTACCAGACTCCGGGGTAGTGGCGGCAATAGGCTACGCCGCCAAGGCGGGGGTTCCATTCCAACAAGGGTTGATTAGGTCACACTACGTCGGGCGAACATTCATCGAACCATCGCAAAAGATTCGCGATTTCGGGGTGAAGCTGAAACTAGCTCCGGTTCGGGCAGTGTTGGAGGGGAAACGGGTGGTGGTGGTGGACGACTCCATCGTACGCGGGACCACCTCTTCGAAGATTGTGAGACTGTTAAAGGAAGCAGGGGCGAAGGAGGTGCATATGAGGATAGCAAGCCCTCCGATCGTGGCTTCATGTTATTACGGAGTGGATACGCCGAGTGCGGGGGAGTTGATATCGAATAGGATGAGTGTGGAGGAGATAAGGGAGTTTATCGGATCGGATTCGCTTGCGTTTTTGCCGATCGAGAGGCTGAAGGGGGAGTTGGGGATGGAGGAATCGAAAGGGTTTTGTTACGCTTGTTTTACGGGGGATTATCCGGTGGAGCCGTTAGGGAAGGTTAAGAGGATTGGGGATTTTGTTGATGATGGGTTGAGTGGGAGTATGGGGAGTATTGATGGTGGTTGGCTTGCTGGTATTAAGAAGAAGGTGAATTTGAAAGAAGAGGTTTCTTTTTAGTTCATAGGGTTCTTTTTTTTTTTTTTTTTTTTTTTCTTTTTATCTTTTTTCAATTTATTTTTTAGGCTCATACAACAATTTTGGTTTCTTTGTGTTTTTTTTTGGTTTGGTTTAATATGGACTAGTTATGGTTAATTTATTTGAGTGATATTACTTGGGGTGACTTTTAATCTTTTACATGATATCTTCCACATAGAGTGACATACATATGGATGTATTCCTTAACTGAAATGTTAAATGTTGTCCTTTTGATTCGATTGTGATTTTGATCATTTTCTAATGTGATTTTGGCAAAATAAAAAATGTTGAAGTCGTAGTTCTTTGGGGAACTTTTTAATTCAGTTTGAATTAGCTAGATTAGATCATTGATTGGTCACAAAGTCATATATAATCGAGTTATATTTTGAATAGTAGATAATTCAAATTGTTTTGGAAAAGTAACTTGAAGAATTATAAATTCCGCCATTTGAATTTTGTTGAATTCAGACTGAAGAATGGTAAAATCACGCGGCACTATTTCTGTATAAAGCGGAATATTTTTCATTTAATTTTTTTTATTTGTAATTCTCTTTTCCACTCTCAAACTCTCTCAAGACATTTGAATTTGGGAAACATATTTCAACTTTGAATCCGTAGCAATCGTGCTATACAGAACGGTTGCTTGAAGAATTCTAGAGGACGGGTACTTCAAACTTTTTTCTTCTTTTGTTATACCCCACGTGCTGCACAACACATTCACTCCATTTTTCTTTTCTTCGTTTTTACCTTGTAAAAGTAATATGGATCAGCCATAAAAAAAATGTTGTTTGGTTTCGAATTTGTCGAACGACCTTCGTGCTCTGCAGAACGGTTGCTTGAAGAATTCTAGAGGACGGGTACTTCAAGTTTAGAAAATTAAAAAAATAAAGAGGACGGGTACTTCAACTTTAGAAAATTAAAAAAATAAAGAGAAAAAACTTAAAAAAAAAAATGAAATGTCAGTAGTGAAATAAAGAGAAAAAATTTAAAAAAAAAATTGAAATGTCAGAAGTGGGGTTTGAACCCACGCCCTCGTTAGAGGACCAGAACTTGAGTCTGGCGCCTTAGACCACTCGGCCATCCTGACTTTTTGTTTAATTATTGTTCTAGAATATATTTATACAAACTAAAGAATCATTGCCCCCATTTTTGTGTCATCTTATACACATTGTTTATTAATGATTACAGGAGGAAAGACACTTTTCAAATGAAGAATCTGAATATCATTAGCATTCGAATATGTCTTAATTGTTGCTTAATGATTTAGATTGAACTTTGATTGATTAAAATCATGCTACAAATGAAAACATTAGTTACAAGATTCAAACGCTATTCATCGATTCCTCTAATACTCAAAACTAAGTATAAGTAAACCACGGACATAGGCGGGGGGGACCGAGTACCCATAATCAAAGGTCCATTATTCAATACCGGAATCTAATAGTGCACGTAACGTAAAATAAGAAGACTACACAAATATTGGAAAAATAAGGATCATATATATGAGATCACAGATAGATATAATATAGGTACGATATATCCAACACAAGTTTGCTAGACATAAATAGGTTTTTTACTAGGTCGGTAATCGATGCTTATAGATAACATAGCTTTCTTGTAGACTTTTCGACAAACGGAGAATGAACATGAACATGCATGTGTGACTAGGAAGACTCGAAACTCCACACCTCCAATGCGTATATCACAAGGAAGGTGCAAAAACTAATGAATGAATTCAATTCCGTAAATAATAAAAAAAAAAAAGAAAAAGAAAGAAAAAAGAAGACGACGAGTTCAAAATAACTTTCAAGGCCCTGTTTTTATAAACGAAGAAGTGCCCGTCAAAAAGCTATTGGCTCGGCTCGTGTTTGGCCGTTTTATTGCCGTTCATTTGCTGAGAGTGCTGCTGACGTAACTGAAACATTTGGGAGTTGATTGAGAGCTGCTGAAATTTCGATGTATCTCCGTTTAGTTCTGCATTTGCAATCTTCAGGCGTTGTACCTCTCCAGTCAATGCTTCATTCAGTGCTGACACAAGAAAATCCACACGTTAAGGCCTCGTTTGGTTCCCAACATGAGATTAAGAATTTTCAATTTTTTAAAATTTATGATAACCCAATTGAATTGGAGTGATGGAAGTGCAATGCATAACCCCTTAAGCCAAGATAAAAGCTTATTATCAGTAAGTTGCTAATTGCGATCGGTGAAAATCTGTTTTGGTTAGTAGTACAAGAAAGCAATATCAAAATTACAAACGGGTACTTAAACATAATTCAGCATCTGCGTAGAAAAAGCATGATTGCTTGGTTCGTCAAATGGCTAATAGAGTGACAATGTTGAAATTTACTATTAATTATACATTAATTTCTTGCTTGAGAATTATGATTACGCTTGATACATAATATAATCAGATTTCTAGGTTTTAATCATGCAGATGAATGATAACTTAGTCCAAACCCAAACCCAAACCCTAATCATTACACAATCCTACGAAAAGATATTAACCGATTTAAACAGAAAAAAATAAAAGAATAAATACTAACAGAAAAAACCGTACCATCTCGGAGTTGAGCCTGTTGTTCCATGGCCTGCAATCGAAACTTCAGCTCGTTGTTCTGGCTAGTAAGTCCAGTAGCGTCTCGCTGAAACCAAATAAAAACACTAACCATTAAACCAAAAACGAGGGAAAAAAAAACGACGAACTACATAACCTAAACATAAAGATATTTAAATCTCATACTTGAAGCAGAGTAAGTTGTGCTGACAACGTCGTAGCTTCAGTCTGTAATGTCTGAACTTTGTGTTCCAACTCTGTGATATATCTCATCTTTCTCTCTTTCGATCGAGCAGCAGATTGACGGTTCGCTAAGATCCTAAAAAAAAAAATTATACAACATTAATTAAAATAAAATCAACTTAAAACATATTACCGATGGATTGATCGATGGTAATGTTTTTTACCTTTTTGCCCTCTTGGGATCACTTAAAGCTATCTCAGCAAGTTTCTCATTCCCCATTATCTTCTTCAGCTCAGCACCACTAAACTCTCCATTCCCAAACTCCAAGTTAAAAGCTCCGTCGATCGAATTAGTGGGCGAGAGTTGACCTGGCAGTGTACCCGGCGACGGGGGCATTTTCGGAAACTCATCAGCAAAATTCATCTTCCCCATAAAACTATCCATAGAGAGACTCCTATAGTGTCGAGAAGTCGGAGCAATATCTTCCCCAGCGGTCCTTTTTACCCCTTCCCTCTTGTGCGTACTGTTCCCACTCTCGTTCACACTGCTAGTTGCTTCATTATCACTGCTATCACCTCCATTGTTAGTCTTTGTACCGCTCGCTCGACTATCCAAATCTTCTCGAGAAAGATTCTCGTTCGCCAGTTTCTCGTCCGTACCAGAAGAGTTGAAGGCATCTATGTTGTCCAAATTCATATAAGCGGAGAAAAGATCGTCCACAATTTCACCTTCGGATTTTCTCTCTCCAGTCCCCTCTGCGTTGTTTTCCCTTCCTTTCTCCCAACTCGACTCTCTTTTAAGCAATGGTATAAGCGGCGGCGAAGACTGCATGATAGTCGAAAATCCAAACGGGATATCACTGTTTGACCTTCTATGGGCTTTACGAGGAGGAAGACTTTCCCCAACCCTAAATGAACCACCACCCCTCGTGAAAGGAGAAGGGGGCATCATTGAATGCGTCCCCCCCTCTCTCTCCTCCATTGCCACGTCAGCTGCCGCCACCTGGTCGGAAATCGAATTCGGAGGCGACTCTCGATAAGGGGAAGGGATTAGTGGAGGCAGCGAATCGAGGGGGAAGAAAGACGGCTGTGATAAAGAACGATTATGCGATGTATTAAAATTCTGCATTCCCATTGGCTGGTTTATAGGGCGATTAACCGGGATCTGTGAATAAGGTGACATGGGAGGGATTTGAGGGTGTGAAGGAGGAATGCCGACTCTTTTACCAGTATTTTCGAAGCTTGAATTCGGGGAGAAATTACGAATCTGCCCACGGAATTGCGGCATGTGTAACTGAGGTATATCTAGTTGGTTTAAGGTAAAGGGTTGCTGCTGTTGTTGGTGGTGGTTTTGGTTTTGGTTTTGGTTTTGAAGGGAAGAAGATGAAGTTCCAAATGAAGATTGAAGTCTGTGCATAGTGTCACCATTACCTTCTTCCTCTTTATCACCACCCATTTTTTTTCTTCAATTGAAAAAATAAAAACTCACTCTTGCGCAGTTCTACTTAGTTACACACTGTGTGCGTGGATAAAAAAACACACACAAATCAGCACACCAGAACTCAAATTCAAATTCAAAATTAAATGCAATCAAAACCACAATCAGCTTCAAATTACTGAACCAATTCCAATTCCCAATCAATCAACGAAATCGCGATCAGTTTACCCAGGAAACGGATAATAAAATGCAGAATCACAAGCTAATTAAACTAGAAATTCCAAAAAAAAAAAATCAGAAAAAAAAAAGGAGAACAAGAGGAAAAAAGCTTTACCCGAACATTTCTGCAGAGCGGCGCAAGTTAGCAGGAGTTTATCCGGCACATTTGGGGGAGTTTATTAGGTCTAGAGAGAGATATCTAAACGTTAGGTATTTCTTTTTTTTTTTCCTTCTCTCTCTAAAATTTTGTTTCCTTCTCTCTCTAAAACAAAATATCGGAGACGACGACGACTGGTGGTATGACTGTAATTACACGGATTTCATGACTATTATTACTTACTGCCTTCGCTCTATTACTACTACTACACTGCCTTTTGCGCGTTGAATTTGATATGAATTTCAATTTCATTTGCATTTCGAGTGAGTTTCATTTACATTCCGACCGCTTTTTAGGTAATAATCCCTTTTTCTTTTTCTTTTTTTTTTATATTTATATATTTTTTTGTCTGAAATGAATTATTTTCCTGTCAGAGTAACAATCTATTTTATATTTTAATAATCTAATTACATAATTTTAGTTGAAATATAAGGAATTTTTTTTGAATAAAAAATTAATAATCTCATAAAGTCACAACCAATGAGTAGAAATATGGTTGATTGCCATTATTCAAACCTAACCCTCCAAAAGATAATTATAATATAGGTTTATTGCATTTAACACCCCCATTCTTACTGTTATTGTCAAAAACTCCTCGTGTGATATATATTAACAAAAACACCTAATTAATTCAATTTTATAGCCAATCCACCCCTAACATATAAAGGATTTATAGTCAATAATTTTCAATTTATAACGACAAATCGTTAAATTTCTTTGGGTAAGTTTATTTGACAATGAATTTCGAATCATTAATGGTCACGTACGAAGTACGGACATGGAAACGGCGATACGTGAAAATGGGGAAACGATATGTCCCGAAAATTGTGACACGTAAACTTGAGGATAACGTGCAAATATTAAAAGTATAAGAGTGTTTTTATAAATATGTTATATATAAAATTCTTTTGATATATTACCGTATAAATATATTCAAAATAAATATTATTACCACATACTAAGTTGCAATTGATAACTAAATCATGTAAAAAATCAGAGAAGCAACAAAAATATTTGAAAATCTGTATTCAAACATGTTTATAACTCAAACGTCGAACACGAAACATGTCTAAACGTCAAGAAGTTATAGTGTACGTGTTACGTAGAATTAGTCACTTCAACTATTTCTTTTCAAAATTATAATCTCATATATAATTACTTAAAAAAATTCCAAATCTTCACATAAATATATAAATTCTTCAAACTAATAAGATGCTGCGAGATACATCTTCTCTGGTCGCTTCGATCTCGAAAGTCTAAAACATTTATTTTTTATATTATTTTTTTTTAGATTTTTAAGGTCAAACTCGTTTTCATTTTGTTTAATAAAATATCAATATAAATCAAAACGGCGTGACGGAAAAACTGGGGCAACAAATGGATAAGGAATATAAATGGGTCCATTTCCACAAGTAAATTAAATGTATTTTGAGGGTAGAAAGGAAAAAAAATTGTAAACATCTAAATCTTTGTAAATTAATACAGTCGAGACTTAGAGAAAATCTATTAATTTAGTTAATTATCAAATTATCGTGTTTAATTTTACAGCTATCACCAAGTCTGGAGTGATAAAAACTATTATTTAAACGAAATTATTGATTTATCGAGAAATTGAATAGAGAGAGAAGTAGACAAAATATAGACACTGAATCAATTATTTTATTCACACAAGCGCCCTTTCTAGTTTCCTCCACGTTGTTTATAAATTCATAATTTATGAAAAAAAAAACAAAAGGTAAATTACGGTCATTCTCCAAGGTAAGGTTAAATTACGAAAAAACGCCATATGTTTGGGTAATTATATATACTCCTTTAACTATGAATCTTCTTACACGTCTACATTCATAGTTGAGGGGTGGTTGTAATTAACCAAACAAGATGGATTTTTTCGTAATTTGACCTTATTTCAGGGGTTGGCCGTAATTTCCCTCAAAAGGGTAATGTTACTGGGCCTGTTAATAAACCAAGCTTACGTCATCAACAATCTGGAGTGTTCATTTTACCGGGCCCATACCTTAGTAGGCCCAAATCTGGATTTCTATTTTAACTATGCAAAACGCTAAATCCAAACAAGCCCTAATTAATTCTGTCTTCAGAAATAGCGATTGAAATTCAATTTTTTGAGTCGAGAATTGCTGACATTGTTCGATCGCCGGCGAGTTTTCCTTCTCCAGCTGATTCTTCTCCGTTGTTTCGCCGGCGCAACGGAGGTATTACCTAACCCCGCTATTTCGATCGCCGCTTGAAGATTCCGTTGTATTCTTGTTCATTGTTATTCCAATTAAATTGTAACTAGGGTTGGGAATTTTTATTTGTTAGTTAACTTAGACAGTGAGACAAATTTTGATTTTCATTGTTGTTCTGGTTATTAAATTATCCAAGTTTTGATTTTTCCTCTTTTCTCACTGATTAATTGTCTTTTTTCTGTGCAAAATCAAATTAATTAATTAATTAATTAAAAAATGTATTATGTTTAAATCTGTTTATTAATACAAATGGTTTTAAGTCAATGTTTAGGTGTGTTGACTTGTTATGGATGCTAGGTGTAATCTTTGTTAAGAGCAGCAATTTGGTTTACGAAATGGAGCAAGAAGTGGTGGAAGCAGAAATGGTGTTGCCGTCTCACATGAAGTTTAAGAAGATTCAAATGTACGAAAAGTATCCGAAAGGACAACCCAGGTTCAGGTGGAAGCATCTCAAGCAGATTATTCCAGCTGAGAATTACCCAAATTACCCTCCCGACGAACCCAATTGTGAGTTTATAATCTCGTTCGTAATTATTAGTAGATTGGGGTTTCTAATTATTGGTCATGTATTTAAGTTATCGTTCTATAGTAGAGTGAGGTATACATTGAACCTTAAGAAGGATCATTTGGTCGTATGCTAATTAATGGAAGAATATGATATATTAGCTCTCGTTAAATTCGTTAAACATGATCATAAGCTCAAGTGTGTCGGTATGACTTTTTTGGGCTAAGAAGAAAATTGTGCCCACAAATTCTTTTATATTCCGAGTTGTGTTCTTTCATTAACGACTCCCATATCACAATACTCGAAGCTTGTACTCTTAGGCCTTGTTTGGTTCACAAGATAAGATTATGCAATCTTATGAGAAATTGATCGTATAATGAATGTGTAACACATGCTAATTTTCTGTTGTTACTTGCAGATGTTAACATTGAAACGCCACCATCTACGCGACCATGCAAAAGAATCTGTGATGTAACTGGATACGAGGTATCTATCTCTTTTTCTTCGTGCAATCTCTACCAAGAATTCCATGCATATAAATTACAATTACGTAAATCTTGTGTTTATACATGCTTAAAGCATGAAAGTTGGGATTTTGAACCCCAATATCGAATCAGCTATACGATTCCTATATTTGTAGCATGAAGAAAGAAAATATTAAAATATCAATTAAATTAGAAAGAAAATATAAAAAACGCATGTCATGTGCAGGCACCGTACTTTGATCCAAGAACGAAGCTCCGTTATGCGAATACAGAGGTGTTCAAGGTCATAAGATCTCTTCCTAATGATTATGTTCAGCGTTACTTAGCTCTAAGAAATGCTGCAGTTGTTTTGAGGTAGCTCGACGAGTAGATTTCTCTGGTTGTATCTATTTTTCGGTCGATGTTAAGTCTGTCTTGTTTATGAACGAAGAATCCCGTGTTTTGGTTTGCTTATTATGTTATTACTGATAATCAGAAAATGTAGTTGGTGCTTAATTGAAATAAATAAACAATGTTGTTATATTCTAATCTTTTGTATTTTTTGAAATTCATTAATCACTAAATTGAAATAAAATTAAATATTTCAAATCAATATCGATTTTTCGCAAAATTCGACTTACTAAATAAAACATATCGAAGCTCAAGAATTCAAATTAAAGCAAAACTCACAATATAAAGCAACAGAATATAAGAAAGCAGAAACAGCACCAACTAATTACTATATGTACCAAGTGCAAAATTTTCAAGCCTCAGTAGATCAAATTTTATCCTACACATGAACGACGTTTATTACTACCAGAGCCAAGATAGTTCTAGTTAATTCATCGAAAAAAAACGTAGGCTACACACGAGGGAGAAAAAAAATGTGAAGAAGAAAGGTAATTACGTGATGGTGATGTAGCGATTGGTCCCGTGTTTAGCCCAGTAAATCTTCAAATCCAACGGAACCGACAAGTCGTGTCCAGCTGTCCCTAGTCTAGTCAGCAATCTGCTAAACACAGTCCCACTCATTTTCCTTCCCCCCATTCTAGCATGCCTCTTGTTCGGCATTTGAGGGAGCGGATATTCCGACAGGGCTGTCGTGCAACAAGACGACTGCCAACCCCCTTTCCCCCACTTGTAGCACTGGCGGGCCACCCCTGTACAAGAACAAACAGGCACAGGCATAGTCGATTCATCGAACCGAATCATCTGGAGCGTCGAGCCAAGATCTTGATCTTCCCACTCAGCCTTTGATCCATAAGTTGTGACCTGCCTATTCAAATCCTCACCCATTTTCTTCGCTTTCTTCGATGATCTACTCGACTTTATTTTGACATTCCTGGACGCTTTTGCCCTTGATGTGGGAACTTCAGAAATAGGGTTACGCATATTGCTCTCGTGGAATTGGAGGGCTGCGATTGCGTTGTCGCGTTCTTTTAGGGCGTTGTTACGTTCGATAATTGCTAAGTCTCTCTGCGTGATGGCGAATTCCATTTCTTTTAATATTGCTTTTGTTTCGGATATGGCCTTGTCTCGCTCTTTTAAAGCGGCCTCCTTTTCTTCAAAGAGTATGCCGATTTTGGCGGTCGTGTTGAAGGCGTTTTGTTCACTGAAATGCTGGTACTGCATCATGTTCCACATTGACTGCGTTTATCAAGTGTTGACCTCGAGCACTTACCTGCAGCAGCAAAAAAAAGAGCAAATGGGATTGAATAAATTCGATTACTCATTTGAATGTCATATACTTGAATACACAATCGAACCATAAGTGAAATAATGCAACACCGTGAGGCATTCCTACAGCTGAATCGAGATTAAAACAATAGATATGAACCATAAAACAGATTAGGGTAACCAGTCACTGAGATCATCTTAAACAACAAAACTAATTCGGAAACTAATTCTTCAACATCAGCGAATGCAAGTTTCGAATGTCGAAAGTAATTTGCTAAAGAAAGTCTGATTTCAAGCAAAATATATTTCGGAAAAAGAAATGCAAGAACAGAAAAACTGATCTCGTTCGTCTTTACCTACAATCCAGCCAAAAACCAATGCTGGTGGTTATGTTTGGTTGTGAGGAATATACGAAAAATTCATATTTGATTTACGATGAAAAATTGAAGTAACTATTCATAAAAACGCAATTAGCAAATATTTAACTATACATCTAGATCATTAGTTTCCTCATAACACAGAGTAAATTCAGGCAGATTTCGAACAATTAGAAAGGATTGAATGTATGAAGAAATAAATGACCTAGAATCAATTCAACTGAAGATGTAAAATTGTGCGGACTGGAAATTAACTTCAATCAATTCCCAAATTCCCAAAGCGACACCACAGAACAAAACAAAATCCAAGAAAAAAAAAAAAAAACAGAGAAATATGAATCTCATCAAATGCAGTGAATGAAGAGATGAAGAAGAAATTGAACATAGTAGATTAGGAAAGCATTCACACAATGCACGCCTGAAGATTATGCAGTTGCAAGTGTGTGTGCATTAGGAAGATGAGAATTAAAAATAGGTCGGGGATCAATCACGTCACGTGACTATACATTTGAGAGAGAGAAGGAGAGCGGTCGTGGTGGTGGTGGTGGTTAGGGGCGGAGGAGTTACCGGAGATGATGGCGGAGCAATTGGAGGAGTGTTAATTTCGAATCGGCCCTTCCGCACACTGAAAGCCCTCTTCTCCGTCCTGCTCTTCTCTCTCTCTCTCACCTTTTCTTATTTCTCTCTATTTTAACAGTTTTTATTTTATTTTATTTTTTATTTATAATATTTTATTATTAATAAAAATAACAATAAAGGAAAAAAACTCAAATAAAAATTCGTTTTATTCAACATTTCAAATCAGTGCAAAATAATGCCTTTTGTTTCTAATTCTCTCTAAAAGAAATTGATTTAACTATAATTGAAAATTACATCTCAAGTAGTTTAATTCTATCGAATATTTTGTACTTTTATCACTTTTTATTTGATTTTACTTTGTCTAGATTTGTAAGATGTTTTAGATGATACAAGTTTAAATTTAAAATATGTTTTAGATTATTTAATAAATTTATTCCACCACAATAAATAAATAAAAAATGTTGAAACGTTAAGTAGTAGTAATTTGTATTGGGGTAAACTTAGGATTTGTGGTGGGTGAAATTGAAACAAAATTATGATTTGTGGGTGACATTGAAATAATTGTAATTTATAAAATGAAATAATTGTTATACATAAAATTTGAAAACTTTGGTATAAATTAATGAAACACATAATTTAACAAAATGAAATTACCTATAAGCCATGATGGAAAAAGATGTAAACTAATTGCCACACATGCAATAGGATGAAGAAGAATACAAGAAACAAAATCTAAAGTCGGGTTACCAAAAGAAGAAGCCTTAGGTAGGGAAGAAATAAAATTCAAATGTTGCAGACATTCTGTAAAACGATGTCACAAAATCCGCTAGGGATGAAAATCAGATTTATTTACCCTTTTCTGTAAAAATCGAAAATCAGATTATTATAAATAATATCTAGGAGAATTTGATGAAAATCGATAATAATATTTAAAATAATATTTCGGAGATAAAAATTTGATAAAAAAATCAAAAAATAATATTTAGGAGATAAAAATCAAAAATAAAATTTAAAATAATAGTTAGGAAATAAAAATTTGATAAAAAATCGAAAATAATATTTCAAATAATGTTAATGAGATAAAAGTTGATAAAATATGAAAATAATAATTAGAATAATATTTAGGAGATAAAATATGATTAAAATCAAAATTATTATTTAAAATAATATTTAGGAGATAAAAATTTGATAAAAATCGAAAATAATATTTAGGAGACAATAATCTGATAAAAAACGAAAATAATATTTAGGAGATAAAAAACTAATAAAAACATGATAAAACTCGAAAAAAATATTTAAAATATTATTTAGGAGATATAAATTTGATAAAATTCGAAAATAATATTTAGGAGATAAAAATCTGCTAAAAGTTGAAAATTATATTTAAAATTATAGTTAGGACTTAGGAGATATAAATTTGATAAAATTAAAAAAATATTATTTATAATAATATTTAGGAGATAAAAATTTGATAAAAATAAAAAATAATATTTAGGAGACAAAAATCTGATAAAAATAAAAAATAATATTTAAAATAATATTTAGGGGATACAAATATGATAAAATTCAAAAATAATATTTAAAATAATATTAAGGAGATAAAAATTTGATAAAAATTGAAAAAAATTTACAAATATGACATTAGGGTTTCTTAGGGTTGCCCTAGCGTTTCTTTCTTTTATATATAAGACTAGTAATTGTACCCGTGCGATGCACGGGACAATAAATTGCATTCTTTTGATATTGTAAGAATATAAACAAACGTTTGATGTATCGTATGATCAAAATTCGATTATACTGGAACATTATTAAGTGTACTACACACAAAAAAAAAAGGACATAACTTTACTGTTGAATAATTTTCCAAATGAATTGAATAAGCTAATACCAGTAGATTGAAAATTTGAACCAGGAAAAAAATCATCAATTATGTCTTCCATGTTGAGCTTAAGTAATTAGATTTAATAACTAAGTTAACATAATCAAAACTAAACTATCGACAACATACCATCGTAAAAGGCCATCTATACATCTTGCATCGGAACTAACCCCTTCTCCACTGCCTCATTTTAAGGTTGTTTTGTCACTGGAATTAACAATTGGAAAATTAAGAAACAAAAATAAATATAAACAATAAATTAAATATCGCATACAAACAATAAGTCTTGAAGGTCGACTTCCAATAGCTTGTGGCTCCGCCCATTTTTGGTTAATTTTCTCAAATCATCCCTTTCAATAACATGTCCAATAACATATAAAATGAAATAATTGTTATACATAAAATTTGAAAACTTTGGTATAAATTAATGAAACACATAATTTAACAAAATGAAATTACCTATAAGCCATGATGGAAAAAGATGTAAACTAATTGCCACACATGCAATAGGATGAAGAAGAAGATAAGAAACAAAATCTAAAGTCGGGTTACCAAAAGAAGAAGCCTTAGGTAGGGAAGAAATAAAATTCAAATGTTGCAGACATTCTGTAAAACGATGTCACAAAATCCGCTAGGGATGAAAATCAGATTTATTTACCCTTTTCTGTAAAAATCGAAAATCAAATTATTATAAATAATATCTAGGTGAATTTGATGAAAATCGATAATAATATTTAAAATAATATTTCGGAGATAAAAATTTGATAAAAAAATCAAAAAATAATATTTAGGAGATAAAAATCAAAAATAAAATTTAAAATAATAGTTAGGAGATAAAAATTTGATAAAAAATCGAAAATAATATTTCAAATAATGTTAATGAGATAAAAGTTGATAAAATATGAAAATAATAATTAGAATAATATTTAGGAGATAAAATATGATTAAAATTAAAATTATTATTTAAAATAATATTTAGGAGATAAAAATTTGATAAAAATCGAAAATAATATTTAGGAGACAATAATCTGATAAAAAACGAAAATAATATTTAGGAGATCAAAAATTAATAAAAACATGATAAACTCGAAAAAAATATTTAAAATATTATTTAGGACATCCAAATTTGATAAAATTCGA